CGATGCCTTCGTTCAGTTACGTATTGCTGTGCTGATTTTATCAAGATTTATCTTATCACGTTTCATTATTATTTACATGAAATATATATATATATATATATATATATATATATATATATATATATATATATATATATATATATATATATATATATATATATATATATATATATGTATATATATATATATATATATATATATATATATATATATATATATATATATATATATATATATATATATATATATATATATATATATATATATATATATATATATAGTGACCCCTCGTTTAACGAACACCTCGGTTAACGTAATTTCGATTAACGAACTGCCTTCCATAAGGATCTTCAATTCGGTTAACGAAAAAAAATTCGCTTAACGAACTTCTTACGAACCGACCTCAACATGTTTTCGCTTGCACTGACCGGGCAACCAGCTTTAGTATCAGTCCGCCAATACATTAATCGGTTCTAGGGCTTAAATTCCTTACTATTTTTGTAAATATCAAGAAGTTTATACTATTCAATAATTTTAAAAGTTTAATATTCAATTTTTTAGTCATTTTAACAATTATTGAACAAAATTGAAGGTAAAGTGACTAGTTTAATGCGCGGCATCCAGCCTCTTTACACAGCAAAGAGGCGTCAGTCTCTCTCTGTTTTCACTGGAGGTAACATCTTGCTTGAGACTCTCTTCAACTAAACGCTTTTTTTCTGCGTTTCCAAGCAAATTATTGGTCATTTTGAAATATATTCTACATATTGACAATATATAATGCAGTGCAGTGTTGATTTAAAGAAAATAACCTTGAATTACACCAAGAGAGCTAAAATTTTATGGGTGAAATGGCGCCATGGGGTGACTTCTCTTCCACCCCAATGCCTTCTCTTCTTCCTTCTCCTCCACCCCCATTCTAAATCCCATCATCATCATCCAGGAGCCTTCTACATACACACCTCAAAGTAAGTGAACTTTTCTACCATTTTTGTTGAATTTAGGAAATTTTCGGTGAGCTGGAACCACTACCCAAAACCCATTGAAACAATGGTTTCGTTAACGCTTCGTTAACGCAACGACCTTCTGGAACGATTGAGTTCGCAAAGGCCACTGTGATATATATATATATATATATATATATATATATATATATATATATATATATATATATATATATATATATATATATATATATATATATATATATATATATATATATATATATATATATATATATATATATATATATATATATAGATATATATATAGATATATATATATATACGGGGGTTAGGTAACAGAGATACCTGAATGTTAAAAATCCGTGTGCTTTGCTGCCCCCAAACCCTGGCCCCATGTCTTATTTACTGTATATACCTGTATACCTGTATATCAGTACTCCGTTGTTTCCATTTTCCCGTGTGATTTTATCAAGATTTATCTTATCACGTTTTCTTGTGGTTACATGAAATATAATATATATATATATATATATACCTATATAATATATATATATATATATATATATATATATATATATATATATATATATATATATATATATATATATATATATATATATATATATATATATATATATATATATATATATATATATATATATATATATATATATATATATATATATATATATATATATATATATATATATATATATATATATATATATATATACATCCTAGTTTAACGAACACCTCGGATTAGCGTAATTTAGATTAACGAACTGCCTTCCTAAGGATCTTAATTAGGTTAACGAAAAAACGTTACATAGCGAACTTTACGAACCGACCTCAACATGTTTTCGCTTGCACTGACCGGGCAGCCAGCTTTAGTATCCAGTCCGCCAATACATTAATCGGTTCTGGGCTTAAATTCCTTACTATTTTTGTAAATATCAAGAAGTTTATACTATTCAATAATTTTAAAAGTTTAATATTCAATTTTAGTCATTTAACAATTATTGAACAAAATTAGAAGGTAAAGTGACAAATTTAATGCTGCGACATCCAGCCTTAATACAGCAAACAGGCGTCAGTCTCTCTTTTGTTTTCACTGGAGGTAACATCTTGTGAGACTCTCTTCAACTAAGCGCTTTTTTCTGTGTTTCCAAAGCAAATTATTGGTCATTTTGAAATATATTTTATATTGACAATATATAATGCAGTGCAGCGTTGATTTAAGAAATAATCTTGAATTAAACCAGAGAGCTAAAATTTTATGGGTGAAATGGGCCATGGGGTGACTTCTCTTCACCCCAATGCCTTCTCTTCTTCCTTCTCCTCCACCCCCATTCTAAATCCATCATCATCATCATCATCGGAGCCTTCTACATACACACCTCAAAAGTAAGTGAACTTTTCTACCATTTTTGTTGAATTTAGGAAATTTTCGATAGCTGGAACCAATTACCCAAAAACCCATTGAAACAATGGTTTTAGGATTAACGAACGTTTAGGTTAACGAACGACCTTCTGGAGCAGTTGAGTTAAGTTAACGAGGCCACTAATAATATATATATATATATATATATATATATATATATATATATATATATATATATATATATATATATATATATATATATATATATATATATATATATATATATATATATATATATATATATATATATATATATATATATATATATATATATATATATATATATATATATATATATATATATATATATATATATATATATATATATATATATATATATATATATATATATATATATATATATATATATATATATATATATATATATATATATATATATATATATATATATATACAAGTAAATCACTGTAAGTGCGCTTGATCTAGGTATATGTGATAACCAAAGAAGAAAACCAGAAGTTCAAGGCGCTTAGTGTAATTCATCTTCAGGGATGAGTACAGACTAAAGATAAGTACAAAACAAGGTGTATATATACAGAGGAGGTGAGACAGGTCCACAATGGTCAGGTATTAGGTAATGACCTAACTAATCTTTAAATAGCATGGCAACCTTCTGACCTGACTACAGACCATTGCAGTGCTATTTAAAGATTATTAGAGGTCATACCTAATACCTGACCATTGTGGACCTGGTCTCACCCTCCTCTGTATATAATAATCTTGTTTACCTTTAGTCACTCACCAAAAAACAAAACGCTGGGAACTTCCTCTCTTGCAACACATGTCTCCATGCGTGACGAACAGTTGCTACAGACAGCTGATCCCATGCCTCCACCAAGAAGTCCACAGCTTTCTTGATGTTGAATATTCTCCAGAATTGTTTTAAAAGTACTTGTTGCTCTGCCAACTGTTGATCCTCGTCGTCTTCGCTCTTGCTATCGGTGGTGGTGTCACTCAGGTTACGCAACTCTTCCCTGGTGTTGGTGTAGTCGTTCAGGAGCTGGAATTTTTTTGTTGAGAATGCAGCTTTCACATTGCAAATCAACTCCTGGTCCATGGGCTGGATTAAAGACGTAGTGTTGGGAGGAAGGAAGACCACTTTTACGTTGGGGGTGACGATCTAACAGTAGGGGCGACTGTCCTGGTGCGTTGTCCAGCAGCAACAAAATATTAAATGGGACATTCTGTCGCTCACAGAATTTCTTTACATCGGGAACAAAACAGTCATCAAACCAGGAGAGGGACAGTGTAGAGAACATCCATGCCTTACGTGCGGTCAGCCAGTGGACATTTAGCTTGGTCATGTCCATGCTCTTGTAGGCGTGCGGCTTGCGTGCTGTGTGGATCACCGATAATTTGAGCTTACAGGTAACGGAGGCATTGGTGGTAAACAGGACGGTGATGCACTCCTTCTGCAACTTCCGGCCCCGAATCTTGTTGGCATTCTTCACAACGAAGGTCTTGGAAGGTAGCTTTTTCCAGAAAAGACCAGATTCGTCCATGTTAAACACCTGGTCATCGGTGTACTGTCCTTCCTCCATAATCTCACGTAAAAACGGAGGAAATTCCCTAGCTACAACACGGTCAGCACTATCTTCTTCACCACCAATGTTGATATTGGTGCTCTTGTTCCTCTTCTTAAACCTCTGTAACCACCCAGAGGAAGCATTAAAGGGTTTGGGCTCTGTAATTCCCATCTTTCGTGCCACTGCCATGTACAGTTCACGTGCGTAGTCCTTAACAGAGCGCGTGTCGACCGCCATGTTCCGTCGCGCCTGACGCACCAAGTACCTCACAAGTAATTTTTCTGTCTTGAGAAGCACCTGGTTGTGAAAATACTTGATCATAGAAGCACCTGTAGACTTTGTGATCTTCATGTGCTCCTTTATCTTGGCTGAATCCTTCTTTATAGTCCGGATCGTAGATTCGTTCACGCCATGCTGGCACGCCAAATCAACCTGCCTTGTTCCTTTCTCCAACTCTTGGATGATGCTATACTTCACCTCGTAGCTTAAGGAACGTCGTGTCTTCTTTGGTTTAGTGCCGCTGGGTCCAGGTAAGGAAAGGTTTCTCTCTGGGGGTGGTGGTCCGGCGGAAGCCATTTTACGGAACAATGGATGCGCGTTTACACGGAGTGGCCTTGAGGGATGAAACTGCCGCGGCTAGGTCAAGCGTCGTCTTTCCTCCCTCCCTCCCTCCCCCGGGTGGACACGTCATAATACTTTAAGCCAATTACAGCTAGCAGCAGAGGGGGGTAGGGATGCATGGCCAATCACAGGTCTGATACGTCATATGACGTCAGTGATAACGCAACAAAGACACACACTGCGCAACCTTACCGCGCCGCTTGCCCAAGCGGAGGGAGGAGGAGGGAGAGGCAGGCAGGCAGGCGGGCGGGTGGCGGGTGGGGCGAATCTAAAAATAGCGTCGCGCCGGACACTCTCCGCGTAATGGGGTTCACGTACCGCGTAATGTGAGCACGTGAGGTTCTGGCAAGGCACCGCGTTAACGTGGAAACGCGGAATGCGGGACCGCGTAAAGTGAGGGTTAACTGTATATATATATATATATATATATATATATATATATATATATATATATATATATATATATATATATATATATATATATATATATATATATATATATATATATATATATATATATATATATATATATATATATATATATATATATATATATATATATATATATATATATATATATATATATATATATATATATATATATATATATATATATATATATATATATATATATATATATATATATACTGTGCACAACTTGTAGTATCATTATCTCGGTAATGACCCTTTCGTATTCCTTCTCAGACATAATTATTCCTGTGTCATTTAGTGTTAATTCTAATCATGCTTCTGTTTACAAAGGAATGATACATTTTAATTCTTATTTCCCTGATCCCTTTCCAGTCTTCAAGCTTCTTCAAGTTTGTCTCATCCCTTCCTTACTAGTTATTCTTTCACTTAAAAACCTTTTAGTCCTCCTACAACCCATACCTGATAACCCTACCTCTCATTCTAAATTTATAAGAATCAGTTGCTTTTAAGTATGCTCTCCATCCAACATTTGCTTCCTCCTTCCACAGTATATCCCCTCTTGTATTGTTAACTGCCATTTCCATATATTCTGTCACCTTGTTTATCTCCTTCCAAAATTGGTTATGATTTCCTTTAAAACTTTGTGACAGCTTTCCTGCTCATCTTTCATTTGCTCCTTTTTATACCTTTACAGTTTTCTCTTTACATCAGTCCATTATGCATAACTAACTCAACCAATACCATGTACTGCCATTTTCTCCCCTGATTTTTCATTCCAGTATTCCTATATCCATACACCTCCACTGCACTTCCTAGATTTACAGTCTTAAACTGCTCCAAATTTACCTCAATCCTTTCTACTTCAGCCCCATTTACTATACAATCAAAGACAAAAGTCGTGTCGCAGCTTTGTCTGAAGATTATAACTCCTGAAACATATGAGAACCCTACCACAAGTCAGAGCGCACCAAAAGTTTTAGCCCTTCGGCATATGTTTTCACCAAATTTCACGACACGACTTTTGTCTTTAATCCTACATGTCAACACACACTTAACTACCCGTTATTTATTTACATCTTTGAATTTTTTTATTTATTGTAAGATCCTTGACTTTTTTCTTATTATTCTGTTGTGCTCTGGACCTCTTATTCACTATACTTTTCCATACACCAAATAATAAACAGAAACTTCATGTGGAGTTCCTCTTAATACTCGTATATCTTCATCACCCAGTTTGCTTTCCAAACCTTTGTATATGCTTGAAATATAGTTGTTGAGTTTTAGACTAGTACTATACTGTATCTTGAAATTGTCATATTTAAGTTTTTATGGATAATGATCCTATCTACATTTTACTCTACTGTAATTTTAATGTGGATTAGACTTAGAGATGTTGCACTTAAAACACAAGCAAAAGGTATGTTTTTGTTTTTTTTCCATGATTAAATCTTTTAGCTTATCATTGTGCCACTACCATCACTGGCCAATACTTAATTCTTGTTATTTTATTTGCATTTTTTTTTTCCTCCTTATAGTTAATGACCGGGTAATAGATGGTTCAAAACATAGCCATCTGAGTCCCTTTCCTGACACTATTTGGCTATCCTGCTCCATTATTTTTCTTGTCTGGTGTAATTTATTAAAGAAATTTTAGATTTAAATATTTCAAATGTGACTTAAGATCGTAATTCTTTTACAGATGATGCAATCCGTAACTTTCCTAGCATTGACGAAAAGCAAGTAAGAAATGCAATCCGGCGCAAACTGAATACTGAATCACGCATATATCGTAGCCAAGAAAAGTTTGGAGGGCCTGGGAAGCGCAATGGTGCTCAGCGACGCAGAAGCCGGTTTTCTGAGTCACCTAGGGCCTTAGTATCAATTGAAAAATCAGACAGGGAGAAAGATAAAGGACCTCCGATGGTAACTCCTAATGTCACAGTTGAGAAAGCACCCTCAAAAGACTCTCGTCGAACTTCTTACGCTTCACCTGGACAAGCTCAACAAACAACTGACAAAGATGGTAAAAGAGATAGTGATACGTCATCATACTTTAATAGACAAGAAAAATCTGCCCTAAGATTGAGTGAACAAGCTCAAGTATCAAATTCAGCCACCCCAACTCCTGTAGCAACACCAAGCCTTCCATCTTCATCCTCCTCCCCAGCAGCTATCTCTGATAAGAGTTTTAAGATATGTCATGAAAATTTGGTGAAGGCAGAACTTCCAAGTGCTACCCAATATTTGCCTCAAGAGTACTCATACCCATCTGTCATGCCACCACATGTTAGTCAGGCTTACTTGCCACACCACATGGCAGCTGCTGATCCCACTTACTTGCGACGCCTTGAGATGACCCAAGGTGCTCCTCATCCTGCAGCTCTTTCATACACATACCCTCATGCTACTTTACCCACATCAGAGTCTATGGAACCTAGCCTTCATATGTAGTGTGGTGATAGAAAAAGTTTCAGATTCCAGTGCAAATATAGTTGTAATAGAAGGCCGTACACAAGAAATCCTATGTCGGATTATCTTAAGATGAGCAACAACTCTTGCTTGTCGTCCATTTTCTATGCATAGTCTTAATGTACTGAAGATCTGATTTATGCAGTGTCAGTTGAACAAAAACTTAATTTTTTAAGCTACTTCAGTTGTATTATAGGAAGAAGGCAAATCTGGATGTATAAACTGTAGTCAAAGACTAATGTTAATATGTCGTGGATAAAATTTTAAAATTTGGTATTCACTTATTGAGAAAAAGGACTTCATTCTTTATATATTTATCCCTTTCTTTAAAAGAGTGATGGACACTACAGTAATATTATTATTGACAAGTTATTATACCCACATTCAATAAACAATTTTATCTGTATAAAGCTGGGAAGCACAGGAAATTTCTTCTCTTAACATGGTATCTGTATATATCTACACATTCTATAATAGTTATCTCGTTAACACTGCCAAGCTTATCTAAGTAAAATCTCTCTAATGTGTCATTCTTCATTCAGTATCTTAAAAATATGATTTTTAAAATGTGTACAATAATTGCTCAAATTGCTAAAAGATGTTGCCACATTCATTTCATTAGTAGTTGAAAAGTATAGAGATGCATGCTTAATAAAATAACATATACCAAATTTTTTCACAAATGAAGAAAGATTCAGTATTTATGTACAAAAATGACTGTCCTCAATTTTTTATATACAGTCATTTTTATTTCCTCTCTCTAAGCCAGACTTTTTTATGTTTTGGTATCTTTTGATTGTTGTTGATAACCATTCTTGTTTTGAAATTTATGTTAACAAGAGCAGATACGAATTCGCATTTCTGACGCTTGTGGTGCTAGTAGTACTGCGCATGCTTCGTACTGTGCATCTGATTTAACAGTCAAGGTCATAGGTACAGCATGGCTGCAGCCACAATTTTGGTTCGGGCTGGAAGTAATAACGGAGGAAAAATAGTTTGTGAAAATATTGAGTCAAGACGTGTATAAACGGTAGAGGGCTACACTTATAATGTATACAGCCTGAACAACATCAACCTAGAGAAGTCGACTTGTGAAAGAGACCTAGGGGTACTTGTAAGCCCGGACCTACGGCCTAGAAAACAGTGCGTTAATGTTCGAAATAAGGCAAACAGAGTATTGGGTTTTATATCTAGAAGTGTAAGTAACAAGAGTGCAGAGGTCTTATTGCAACTATATCTTGCGCTAGTTAGGCCGCACCTCGATTATGCGGTTCAGTTCTGGTGCCCCTATTATAGAATGGATATAAATTCACTAGAGTCGGTGCAGCGAAGAATGACAAAAATGATTCAGGGACTTAGAAACCTTCCATATCAGGATAGGTTAAAGAAACTTAACTTGCATTCCCTAGAAAGACGAAGAGTGCGGGGAGATATGATAGAAGTATTTAAGTGGGTGAAAGGAATCAATAAAGGGGATATAGATAAAGTTCTTATAATATCCGAGCAGGATAGGACTCGGAGCAACGGATTCAAGTTTGATAAGTTTAGGTTTAGGAGGGAGATAGGAAGAAACTGGTTCACAAATAGGGTGGTGGACGAGTGGAACAAGCTTAGCAACTTTGTAGTAAGTGCGGGAACTCGGGAAAGTTTCAAAAGGAGGCTAGATAGATTCATGGATGATAGAGAGTGGTAGTAACTCTCGACAGGAGCTGCCATGCACAGGCCAACCGGCCTATTGCAGACTCCTTATTTTCTTATGTTCTTATGTAGGCCTTCAGCTGTTTCTGTATACCGACACATGATTTCCCATGTTCGGTTGCATGAGATCAATTTGCCATCAAATAATTTACAATTAGAGTAGTGGACGAAGCCAGGCTCTTGAATGAGAAAAAACATCCTTGGTGTTTGATGTTATTATGGAAATAGCCTGCAAATATGATAATCTAATCTGTCAGGTAAACAGTATGTACATTCATACGACAATGTATGACTAGATTTATGTTTCTGAACACTATTAAGGGAATTTTCGAATTTATTCTTACTGTGACAGTCGAGTCTACTGTGTGCGTGTTGAAAGTATGTGAAACATGATTTATTTTCATGTACAGTATCTGGAAAATTTTACACTTCTTTAAAGTCCTTATTCAAATTTTTTTTATTTAAATCGCATTCATTCTACATAATTATTATAGGTGGACCTTTGCCATTATCCATATTGCACAAAGAAACAAAGATACAGTACTTTGTAATTTCAGTAATTATACAATTTATACTAAGGAGTAAGATCCTCTCATGGTTTTGATCATAGAGGCATTATTTGTATTTGTTATTATTTTGATAATAATTTGGGTTTCTTGCAAACACATGCTGCAGCTTGCTTTATACTGGAAGTTCTCTTATAAAATACCAACAGTAAAAGAGATTTCGTTCTAACTCATTAAATTTGTAGACTTTACAGATTCGCCCATTTTAATTTTATTCTGATCCCCGACATTAAACTTAGAAAGTAAAATTCCATAAACCATAAACTAGAAAATGTCTGGCCTTGCAGAAAATTATAGAGAAGCAGAGCTGGGTGAGGAGAAACACAATGGGAAAGGTTTTTATTTCATTAAATTTGTTTATTGTACAGTGAACCCTCACTTTACACGGTCAATTGAACCCACAGTGGCCCACGTAAGGCGAGAAACGCGTAAAGTGAACAACATAACATATGGGATTAATTGAAATAGAGATCGGGCCGACCCCCAAACTCCACTTTTTCAGACACAATACCTACATTGTAGTAAAAATAACTTCTTAATTTTATAATTTTATGCACACACAATTAATAATTAAGAGAAATATCAATAATATTAGGTTTTCTAACACTTACATTAGTAGAAAAGATGGCTGGGCACACGGGATGGGGGGTTGGTTCCGAAGCAGAGGGCAGATTATTGGCCCTCACCTGTATCACTTGTATCAATTGTTTCACTATCCACCACAGAGGCTTGCAGGGCCTCTTTGTCAAACCCCTCAAAGTCCATATAAGTCCATATCCTCACTACCATTATCACTGACTTGGACCGGCTGTGGTGGGTGGCGGGTGAAGAACTCGGTAATGTTTTGATGACTGGGCGACCTTGTGCGCACCCTGCCTGCACCGCTCTCCGCGTAAAAGAGTACATGCACCGCATAAAGTGAGCATTCCGTGTTCGGCAGGGTACCGCGTAAACGTGGAAACACTTAAAGTGAAACCGCGTAAAGCGGGGTTTTACTGTACTGTATTTATATATTTATTTATTTATTAATTTAATTTTTTCTTGAGGGCAAATGATACAGACCAACAAAATAAAATTACCCTAACAGTTTTATGTTATTTTCTTTGGGTAACTTAGGTTTTAGTTACATTAAGATAAATTTGATTGTGTAGCTTCATTTTCTGTTGACGATAATCAGTTGTCAGCTAACACATTCACCTTTGCTCAGTCTACTGGCGTGGTTCTTGGTTAATTTAAGTATATATGAAGAATACTAAAAAGAAAAAAAAGAGGTAGTTAATGATCATAATGAATATTATAACTTTAGTCATAAGTAAGGATTTTTTGTGATACTATTATTAAGCAGGCATTGCAAATTCATAACAATTAGACAGAATCCCTCAAACCTGGAACTCTCCGATAGCCGGAATTTAAATTTTCTTGGAAAATCATTTCCAAAGCTAATTCAGGCTTGGGAAAATTTTTCTGAAAGGCACATTTTCTGGAAAATTCTGAGAAAATTTTCCAATACCTGGAAAATTCCGGGGATGGGGGGAGATTTTTCTGGGTTTCAGAGGTGATGTAATGGGCAATATCTGGAACTTCTGAGAGCATTTTTCCGTTACCCGGAAGATTCCGGGATGAGGGATTTTTCCGGCTTTGAGAGTTGTCTCGCAGAAATCTCTCATTCTCGGAAGTGCTCTGCACCAATTTGTTCCAGCTAACAGAGATATCTCTCTATTTGATTTTTTTATCTTGGTACAAACTGTCATTTAATGTAACATAAGCCTAAATATTGCATTATGTAATTTATATGCATTCATACAATTATCATTATGAAATAGTATCAGCAGTTAATATGAATTTTGTGATACATTGTGCATTGGATGAAATTTGAGCAATATTTGTTGAATTGAAATATGAGTCTTGGAAACAAATGTTAGAATTCAGAACACTCCTTCAGCACATTGGATGGACTATATTAGTTAGAGAGATTTTAATTACAGGTTAATTCCTTTTGACTGCAGCAGTGTGTGAATTCAAATGGTTTGAGTTCTATCATAGTCTTGAGCAGAGATAAAGTTATCGAAGCATGTGGTTTTCAACTTCCCTGCCATCCTACACTATTAGCCATTTAGTGGCATTGCACAAAATGCCATGTTGCTTAATAGAAATGTTTTAATTGGTTATTATTTTATAATCTTGAAATTACGCCAAATATAATTATTAGTATATAAATCTCGCAACATAAAACTTCTAAAATAATGAATTTCATGAGTTTATTACCATATCCTAGATATTTACTAAGATTTGTCAGTGTTAATTCTTTAGATGACTGCTTATGTTAAGGATTTGATATAAAACCCCCAAATTGTCTGGTTTCAACTCGGTCATTTCAGGTCCAGTATTTCTATTGGCAGTTACCAATTAAGTATACAGTATAACATACTAGTAATCACCAATTAACTACATATACCAAATCCTTAAGAAGTGTTACATTTATTATTTAAAGTTTTTGTTTTATATTTTACTTTTATTAATATTTTTGTCAATAACCATTGTTTTTTATGCTCTTAAATATTTTTGTAACCCACCATAATTATAAAATATTAAGAATTCCTTTAGTCAGTCAAGGACAATGTCTTGACCCTATAACTTATGCAGTTTTGTATTATGCCATGACTCATGGCACAAGTGGATCAAGTGAAAGCATCACTCTGCCAGCTCAATCATTATCTCATTGTGGAATTTAAACCTTTTTGCAGACCAAGGTTCTTTTCATGAAGTTCTGCTTTGATGATTATTTAACTTGCAAGTGGATTCCGTCTAAAGATTAACTGATTATATACTTGGTACATATGCTGTGAAGAGCTAGTTGAATTAAGTAACAGAATGTCACATTGTCGTTTATGACATTATTACCATGTCAATGAAGTAATAGAGATCATAAATAGTTATAGCTGTGGTGGGTTGACATCTATGTGCATATTACCTCCTTGTCTCTCAAATGATTTTTGTAGGACGTCTAAAAATTGGGAATCATGTCTTTACCTTGTATATAATATACCTTGCATGTGATGAATGGCAGTAGCATTTGGGGGACACCAAAGGTAAGGCAAAGGGTCACTTCGGATCCATGTTTTGCAGTAAGGGGTGAAGAATAAGTTAATACAGGTGGTCCTCACTATTCGTTGGGGAAGTGTTCCTAAAAACGGCAAAACAAATATATCAGTGAAGCCAAAATTACCATAATCATATTATTAGTTTGGGTTATGTTCCTAGGTTTTTTGTTTTGTTTTTTGTTTGGCCTTTTTCTCATATAAATGGTACCGCACTTCACCCCCTGTGCTGCGGGAATGAGTAGAGACAGATTTACTGTTGCCCCATGCTGCAGTTACTCCCAAGAACATTCTTTCACATTTAAAATTGTCTGCTTATTGATTTCAGCCAATATGGCTGCCAATTGTTTCTGTGGTGGTCTTCACTATACTGTATGCCCAATGAATATATTGTCAGGCCTTGGCACCAGAAGTGAGACAAAATGTCATTTGGTTGGAGTGGTAGGCAAGTCTGAAGGTATACCAACTCAAGACATCAATAATAATATTCACTCTTGGAGAGAAGGACGGAGAAAGATAATTTCTTTCAGAACTCTTTGATTGTGAAGACAGAACCAAAAGTGAATTTAGTGAAGATGAAACGATTGAAAGAACAATACCAGTTACGAACTATGGGGGGTGAGAGTTGGAAGAGTCATGCAGCATGAGGACTCCACTGACAATTTTCAATGCTATATGTCACAGTAAATTAAAAGCCCTTCAATAATTTTGTTCGTATAATTGTTAAAATATACAGAGTATTTTTCTGTCTAAACAAATAGTTAAGTTAATTAAAAACATTCTTGACTTTACTGTAAAT